AGGTATGATTCTGATGTTTTTGACACCAGTAAAGCATGTCACTGAGGGAACGAGTACATAAAAACTTAATCTGCTATGCCGCCATCAGCTCTAGCAAGGACGGTGAGATCTGGGACACTGCTCTGAGATCCCTTCTCCTGGGGATGTAGGCTAGTGCAGAGGCTCAGGATCAATCCCCTTTCACAGATAAACAAACAAACAGGTATGATTCTGATGTTTTTGACACCAGTAAAGCATGTCACTGAGGGAACGAGTACATAAAAACTTAATCTGCTATGCCGCCATCAGCTCTAGCAAGGACGGTGAGATCTGGGACACTGCTCTGAGATCCCTTCTCCCTCTGGCCTGCTTGGGCCCAGTTGGAGGGACCAGGTGGCCATGCCCTCCCCTCCCTGTGCCCTCCCCTCCCTGCCCAGCCATCAGCTCCAGCAAGGACCTCAACACATTTTTCTTACAGATATCTCTTCTACCTTTTAAAAAATATTATTATGGGGCTGGGGATTTAGCTCAGCAGCACTGTGCCTGCCTTGCAAGCACAAGGTCATGAGTTCAACCCCCCATACCAAAAAAAGAATAAAAAAAAAAGCAAAAAAATTGTGAACCTGGACATGGTGGCAAACATAGTCCCAACACTCTGGGAAGCTGAGGCAGGAGGATCACAAATTCAAGCTTAGCCTAGGCAACTTAGTGAGATTCTGTCTCAAAATAAAAAATTACAAAAGGGCTGGGAATATAGATCAGTGCAAAGATCTTGTGGTCCCCAGTACCACAGAACAACAATAACTAATACTACTACAGTAACACAACATGATTTCTTGCAGCCAAAGGCAGTTCTGATCAATGACATCACTGTTGCCTGCAGAATTTACTGGATGATGGGACTTCCAGATTTATTTTTCACTCGGATTTCTTCTCCTGCTCTGCCACAGAGACACTTGGAAAGGACTTGAGTATCTGCTGAGCAGCACATTCACAGTCAGAGCACCTGGCTTCCATGTGAGCTTTGTCTCAATCTTGAGACTCTTGGGTTTGTGCTGAGATCACAGTGATTCGGTACAGGTAGCAGCCAAAGCCACAGTCTTGTCAGGAAGCAGAGAAGGAGAGGCTCTGTAGCTTCAGCTGGTAGAAATGTGCATGTCAGGGGCCAGAGTGGAGGAACCTCTTGCTCCTTAGGGAATTTAGAGCCGCGTTTTTCCAACCATACTCTATAGGGTTCTAGGTTAAGGCTTCATGGGCCACTATGGATGGGTGTTAGGAGGCTGAGCACTGGGCTCCGGACCTCACCTAGGACTCTATTTCAACCAGCACAGTTCTGCTTTTCTCTAAATTATAGATTGGGCTCTACTTCAGATAGTTTCAAGATAATCAGATGACAAAATTGGTTTACCAGAACTACTTTCAGGGTAAGTGCTATAAGTGGTTTGAAAAGATGCTTAGAGAAGCCACTTAGGAAGGGTGGGGAGATAGGAGTGAGATCTTCAAGAGCAGGATGGAAATAAAAATATATAGCTAGGAAACAGTCATCTTAGGAGTAAATCCTGGCAAAACCTTTAAAGCTTTTGTTTTTCTGAGAATAGACAGGTTTGAAGGTAGAACTGAATTCATGAGAATGGAGGGTGGGCTGTGGGTATACGATAGGAAACTACAATCTCCATTTTACAACACAGCCAGAGGACTTAGGAGGAGGAATCTTAAACAGGACTTCACCATGTGGCACACAGTTGGGTATATAATGTAAAGTTCTCCTTTGCCATCTAAGCCTTCTGATACCCAGGCATTATTTGGTAAAAACTTGCTCAATAATGCTTTGAAGCTTTCATTAAAAATAGATTATTTTTGGAGAAGCAAGAGAGACTGAGGGTTGTGAACTGATGGTGTGGAAAATAACCAGAGAACATACATATTTCATGTTAATGAAGGACTCCCAAGGCTCAATAGCAGGTGATACTGACCACTAAGATGGATTCTAGGAAAGGAGACAGAGCAAAAGCAACACAAAAAAGATCTGAAACAGGGAATCGGAGGTGTCTGGTATAAGCTTCCAACAGCTCCCTTGTTCAAGCCCACGCAGGAATATGTTCGCTTTCTCTAGCAGTGAACAAGGACAAGCAGGAAACCTTTCCCAGGGAAGCCCAAATGAATTTCAGGGCCCAAGGCTTGCTTCTACAGGGAGGGCTTGGGGGCCAGTCACATAGGCTTATCTTGCTATGCAACTAGTCTTGCCTTTTAAAAAAATTGGAACACATCATTAATTGTGTAGTTGTGCAAAGCAACCTGACAAACCAGTCTGGCATGGGCCATTGCTCCAGATGAATTTAATAAAACCACCAGCCACTTATATGAAGAATGATCCAATGGCAGCATTCTTAGGAACTGGCCAAGGTTCAGCAACCAAACTTGCTGTGTTAACTCTTTCCACACAATATGTGGAGTGATAGCCAACTCTGGCTAGGACTGCCAAAAGAAAAGGAAAAAAAAATGTGTGACCTCAACAATGCTATAGGAAATAAAAGCTATTTCATCAACAATCATGCAAAGTACCTATGAACTACCTGTTAAGACCATTTTGAGTGTTGGGTTGGGGATAAATTAATGAAAAGAAAGATGCCCATTCCTACGAATCTTACAAGGAACTAGGAAAATGTGGCTTGAAGAAGCTTTTGAGTTGAGGCAAAGTCATAAAAACAAGCTGGTGTCCTGTATGGAAGTCCCCCAAAAGGAAATCTTTTCTCGAAATGGGTTTCTTTTTATCTCTAGGCTGTCTTATTAAGGTGCTTTGTTGGGAATGTCTTTCTAGTTAGGGGTAACAGTCTGAATTTGGGGTTCCCCAGGATGGAGAATTCTCAGGGTTACAAGTGAAACAGTTGATGACGATGCTTCTAGCCTATAACCATTGTTTCCCTGCTTTGAAAACTTCTTCCAACCAAAGGGACAGGTGCTGGCAACCACATGTTTATGTTGTCACCTTGCCCACCTACCTACAGGACTGACTGAAAAATACAGTGGGTGTTTCAATTAAACAAAAAACTTGTAGGCCACAGGGATTTAGCATAGTGGCACGATGCTTTTGAGGTCCTGAGTTCAATCCCTGATACCGGAAAAAAACCAAAAAACCCCCCAAAACTAAAAACTTATTATAGTAAAAGACACATTGCAAGGAACAATGGGAAAGGGGTGTTTGTAGCAAGGGCAAGTATTCTGAAGATTAATGGCAATGTGTCTTTTACTGTAGTAAATTAAGCCTCCACACTTTTGACCACCCCATGGATTTTTGAAGAGCAGAATTGGGGCTTGACCACTTACTGGCCAACTAGTTATCTAGAGAAACAAACTGAAGAAATTGGCTCAGAATCTCATGGCAATGCTCTGCAGTGTGACTTCTCGTTACTGAGGTCTCTAGAGCAGTGCTTGACTCTTGAAAGCCCACTGATCTTTTAATTCTCGCAAGAATCTCAATCTCAATAATCTCCATCTGCCATTTTTCCTTTATTTATACTGCTTCTCTTTACTTTTTCAGAAATGTAACCAAGCCAACTCTCCAGGTAAAAGTACTTCCAAGTCTAGACAAACAACTCTGGTTCTTCATTTAGAAATGTTTCTTGAATATTCCTTACTTCTGGCACCCTGGTATTAGTATTTTTGTCCTGGGTAGACCTACCTACCAGATACACTTCTAATTTTACATTAATAAACTGGCATTCTGGAGCATCTTGGAGATATTTAAAAACACATTAGCGGACTGGGAATTTAGCTTAGCAGCACTGCACCTTGCAAGCACAAGGTTTTGAGTTCAATCCCTGGTACCAAAAAACCCAAACGAAAAACCCATTAGCACAGTTGAAAAGGAATGGACTCTTACAATGGAACTGACACAGGCAGCATGGGGTTAAGTGTTCCATAAAAGGTGTCAATGAGTACCAGTCTCAACCCTCCTTTGCTCAATTTAGATGTTGCAAATTGTGTGGCACTTCCTAATTGCAACCCTTTGCCAATTCATTGTAGCTGGGCTGTTCTTTGGAGTTTACTGTCACTGGAACCACCTGCTGTCCTAAACTACCTTCCCACTGACTCAACTTCCCAATGATTCAGCTTGTCATTCCACTTTCTAAGCCCAGGCCATTTTTGGCTATTTAAGTAGGCCCTCACGGAACTATCCACTGTATCCTAGTAACTCTCATTTCAGCTTGTCATTCCACTTTCTAAGCCCAGGCCATTTTTGGCTATTTAAGTAGGCCCTCACGGATCCACTGTATCCTAGTAACCCTCAGGTAAACCAAGCTGCTACTCTAAGAATGGACATCTCGGTGAAGCCTGACTTTTTCCCCAAGTGTCTCCCAGTGCTCCTTTATTCTGATTGCATCAAGATAGCTTTCTGAAAAACTAAACCTGGATTCCAGACTGCCCAAAGTCAAATCTGGGCCCTAATGATGCTTTGGTATCTTCCTCCAACATGAAAATGAAACAAAAGTTTGATGCTTTGGTATCTTCCTCCAACATGAAAATGTGAAACAAATGTCTTTTTCATTCAACTTATGTGGAGAGCATGTCTGCCTAGTTTGCTGAGTTAGTGCCCAATTAGTGCTTTAGGCTGATATAGTTATTTTATCTTGCTAGATAAAGGAGTTTGCCTGCTTTGCTATAATTATAATGATTTATATATGAATATGAGATATAAGACATGTAATGGAGGATCGCGAAATGATGATTTCTCCACACTAGCTATAGTCTGTTACACTAAGAAAAATCCTCATTGGAGGAGTAATTGTTGCCATGGCGCGTTACCTAATGTAAAAAAACTCTAGTCTATATAAAAAAATATATTCCTTTATTTAAATACCTTCTCCACACAATTAATAAAACCTCAAAAAAATCCTAACTATTACATGCTTTCTTGCTAGCGAGCGGCGCACAACAAACTTATCAAGTAAAAACTATTATTAGGCCTTCACAAGGCACCAGTACGTGTTTATCCTATCGTATCAAAGAAAAAACACTGCTACTCAGGATTAAGCATATATTTATTTTAGTTCAGTTAAAACAAACATACATTGTTTCATTGAAACGGTGTAGCACTCCTTGCCAACAAACCATACTGGAATTGTTGGCCTCTAACAGTACAGTGGGGCATGTACACTATATACACCAAGTTAACACAGCCAGCTTCTCAAAAGGTCTCTCAATATACTAATCACATTTTGGTAATGACTGCATTTTGAAAATTTGGACCTTATTCAAAATTTAAGAGATTTGAACTTGTACCAAGTTCTCATGAAAAAATTTGCTGTCTAACCAGTTTATTACAAATACAATTTTAACAAATATTTTAAATGTTCAGTATTTGTACATAATGTCAATTTTATATTGAATTCTCTGTACAGGTACTTTTGTGACTTACATATAATGTGAATTCGTCAAAATGCAGTTAAGAAACTTACAGGAATATATACACTTGAACCCCAACACCCAATCCTGATATGTACAACCTATTTACAAATACATATGGACAGACATTTTATGTACACAGATTATCATAAATATTGAAAAATAGGTTAGCTTTAATGGGTTAATGCTGTTCTATAAATAACATTAGTTTATAACTGAAACATCCACGGAAGACAGTAATGCAAAATGAGGTGACAAGACAGTGGTTTTAATACTGAAGACTGCTCATTAATCGGAATTCACTGTTTAGGAACCTATAACAGACAAGATAACTCCAAGAATACATGATGGAATTTATCCTAGGAGCTGATTTTAAACCTCAGGTAACCAAAGGATTAAGGGCAGCCTCTCCACATTGACTTGCTACGTATGAAAAAGGTTTCTTGTTTCCATTCCAGGTTGCCAAGTACTTCACAAAGGATGTGAACTGTAGAAAACAACTCTTTACTTGCAATTCCCGGCAGGTCTTTAGGTGTAGTATCAGCAACTTTTCCTAGGAACGCATACAGAAGAGCCAATTCTTGGTCTGAATTAGAGGTAAGGTTCTGGATTCGAATGGAGTGTCCAAAGCCCAATTAAATGAAAGCAGTGCTGTAGAATGTCTTCTCACTGCCTTTTTATTTCTAGATGGTCCCAAGAATTTTATCTTCGTAAAAACAAGAAAGGACCATTGGTTTCACCCAAGGTAAGCACTACAAGACGTCTTCCAGTTCTGTAAGGGCCTTTAATTACAGACACATCTTGTATATAAATTTAGTCACATATAATACAAGAATGTGTAACAAAAACCTTGTCTGCCACATTGCTGGCCCTTGCTTCACACTAAAAATGTTTCATTCAAGAGAAAACCTTAGAGCCAGATAACTGATGATTTGTTTCCCTCAACCACTTAATGGAATTACATTAGATTTGACAGTATGCCGGATGGGCAAAGTACCACATTACTTAATAATATATTCACCATACACCGTAAAGTACAATAATGTGCTCTTAAAGCCAAGTTTCAAAGTAATTTTGCCACTTTTAACTGGAATTGAAATGGAAAGGTAAACATGCAGCTGGACCAAAACTACAATCAGGTTGCACTGTTCTCCTTAGCTTATCATCTGTTGGATGTAAACAAGTAATTCTACATTGTATAAGAATGAGATGACAATTCAGTGCAAAAGTTCTTTAAAAAGCTTACTGCATGAAAAACCCATTGGCTTATATGAAGAGAACTTATACCAGGTATCGGTGTAACATGTGGATTAGACCTCTACTGTAGACAAAACATGAATTCGACTAAGTCATACATTGTCAAGTAAATCACACTTCCAGTAGATGAGCATTTTGAAAAACTGTACTTCTCTGGATAGAATGGTTTTGGCCTACTGCCATCCAAATACCCATTTCTCACTGCTGGAAGCAATGTCTAAAAAGGGCTGGCCCAAAAAGACCCAGAACTGTCCATCAGCTCCGGAGACAGATGCAACTGAATAAGCCCTATTTTACCCAATTGCACTATTTGGTACCTCAAAATTAGTTATTTCCCATAGAAATATCTGCATTATTTTCCATTCTATTAAGGTTGAAGACCAAAACACTTTTGTCTGGATGAAAAGACTTCATCTGATTTGGTGTAGCAATAAGTACTCAATTATCCTTGAAGTACAGTGAAGTTTTAAATGGAATAACAACAACAAAAAAAACTGTTCCTAATTCATGGTACAAGTGTTTTCTCTAAAAATTACTTTGGGTAAAAAAGTATTTGGCTTATAATGCCTACAAAAAAGGCAAATCATTACATAATGTTAATATTTATTTTTAAATACCAATGAAATTACTTTTTGGAACTGACAACTGTTTCTGGTTAAAATCCAAAAAAAGCCATTTCTTAAAAGTAAAATAGTACATCTGAGGTCATTAAGTATTTTTGGTACAAAAAAAAAAATAGTGTTTTCCTCAATGGTTATTTCAATACTTTGCTGTAAATTAAGAAGAATTGTTTCTCACATCGAATGGTTCCATTAGGCACATTCAAGTAAAATCATAAAATATCTAAGTTAAACAATGACAACAGCCAAACATGTGGCTTGATAAAAGTTCATCCATTCTCTGGAATGGAATAAAATTGTCACTTCCCTTAACCCAAGTCTCGTGGTTTTGTTGTTAATATCCGTTCCTAATGCACAGATAAGTTTAAAAAAAAAAAAAAAAGGAAAAAAAAAGTTCACTTATTCTGCATTCAGAAGAACCAGCGAGGAATTTACATCTCAAAAGGAAGTGAAACTGAAAACATTAGGTGAAATTTCATAGCAGTTGAGAGTCGACTCAACACCGGCATCATCGGATGGACTATTAAGAGTTTGAGCGGTGCCAATTAATGGCCACCTCCAGAGGCATTGTGTACCCAATCCAAAACAATCAAGGCCATGCTTCCAATCATCACCACAATGCCACTCAGCAGGAAAAGCAGAGCCTGCAATGAACACACAGAAAAAAATACATCAGCAAGCAACATACCAGCTAAACATTCTTCTGCTTTTAACATGGACTAAGAATTGCTGAACAGCAGTTCCATGTATTGTGCAGTGTTCTATGTACGGCTAAGTTACAGAGGAAGATGACTTCTCCATTCCCTTCTCAGACAAAAAAGACATTTTCGTCAATAAACTACTTCATATAGAGCTGGACAGGAAGGGTCCACCCGCCCCCTTGGGACAGTCTTTTTATTAAAGAGTAAAACAATTACTGGCACTGTGCAATTTTGACACTAGGAAATACTGTGACCGAGAAGCTGTCTTTTTCCTAAATATCCCCAAACCAGGATTCTGTTCTAGACCCACAATGGTTAGCATATCACAGAGGCCTTACTACCTTAGGGTTAGGAGATGCTAGGGAGCACATGGAGAGAAGCCTCCAAGAGCTCTGCTTTGAGAATAGGCATCCTTGTCTGAATGAAATGACGCATCTTTACTTTTATGAAATTGAAGTATCTTTTACATCCCCCTGCCCAACCATCCATCTGTCAAGTTATATCATAGCTAAAATATTTACTAAACTTTTAAAGTGAAACTATGATAGTAGAGAAACTGAAAATCAGTTGGCAAAACTGAAACTGTTATTACTGTTGCTCTGGTCACAATCTTTCACTCACCCCTATCTTTTGCACAGATTTCATTGGTTCTTTCTTCACCAACTTGATATAGAAGGCAGATGGGAGAATAAAAATCAACATAGCAGCCGCAGATGCACCTATAAAAGAACATTTATTGTTTCCTGAGAATTCAATTGGTTATTTAACATTTTAAGCCTTAACATCCCCAATATTTGAGTCGACTTTCATATTTTAAAAGACTTACCAATGAAACCGAAAATATCCCTAATAGTTGGGACAAAGATGACAAGCAGGTTGGTAAATGCCAAGATAGATACTGTAATGAGACTGTGACGCCACCAACTGAAATCTTTTGCTGCACACAACAGATGAGTTACAGAACTCCGGATCTGCAAAAAATAATTTAAAGAAAACCTATCTGTAGCTATGTAAAGAATTTCTAAGTAATAGGGACTGCATGTAAAACAGTAACCATTTGTAAAGGAAACTGTACTTTCTCCTCTGCTGCTGTTTTTTTCCCCCAAAATATTTGAACATTACTATTATTTTGTATCTTAAATTATGAAAGAAATGTCCCACTATCTTTTGAAAATCTACACTGTATTTCAATAAAGCCCCTTAGAAATCATCACCAACTGCGTATTGCTCTATTGCTGATCCTTCTGACAGAAATAAAAATGTTACAAATCTTCATGTTTAAAAACTCATCCTTACTGAAAAAGGGCAAGTGATTGATTACTTACTGGGAAAATAACTACTGGTACAGTGAGGGTGACAGCCACTAGCACAGCCAAACGGACAATGAGAAGAATGATATCTGTTCCCACAACAGAAGAGTAGGTATGAAGCAATTCAGACTCAACATGTCCTACAGGGAAAGAGCAAAAAAAGCTTTCAGTGTGTGGTTTCCTCTGGAGATCAAGTAGAAAACCTAACTCACAGTGAAATCTCCACCAAAATTTTAGCTACTCACAAAGTAACTATAAACTAAGACGCTAATACGATTAATTTGGAATTACAGTCAATGCAATTAAAATAACATTCAAAGGAAAAAATTTCTAACTACCAAGTAGAGATTTAGCCACATGACCTCCATTAAAAACAACAGGAACCAAATAGCTAAATCCCATGGATTGGCTTACTTGTATGTTGTCAGTTTAATGGTAATGGGAGAACTTATCACAGGCAAGGACATCATACACACATGCCAAAGAATGACTAATAAGTGTTTTCAAACCTAGACTCTAGCAACTACTGATGAAATGCATTATAGAAAATTCTAAGGTCTAAATTCAATGGCTTATCAAATGCCAGATTTACCAAAAGACTCAATTTTTACACAAAGTGTCTGTCTTATTTCAATGTTCTTCCCCTTCTAAACTAGATATTATTTACCGTAAAAAGTCAAGTATCCAAAAAGAGCAGCAAGCAGATACATCAGAAACATAGCAAAAAATGAAATCTTGGACACATTCATCATTCTTCTTCGGCTGCGGCTATGTAGATTCAAAAGAAAATGCAAATATGTGTATCAGCAACAGTTATAAACAGTAGTCTTACTATTTTCCCAGTAAACTTATTAAAAAAAATACTTACTCCTTCAGCTCTTCGTAGATGGGCAGAATGGCAGGATGACAGACAAATGAAAATGTCAGAATCGGTACAGCATAGACAGTCTGAAAAGAGATGCAGAAGTCTATTAATACCCCAATGTTATACTCTGTCACCGTTGTAGCTAAGCCCATTCAGTGTGATCAATATCTTAACTGCTGAATGTTCCTGAACACCATGATTATTTTATTTCTCAATCTACTTTAAGTAAATCAACACTTTCTTCAGAATTCTTGGTAACTAGCTATCATACACTTTCTACAATTCACCTATTATCCATCTTCCCCTTGTCTTAGGAGTTACTATTGGGTAATTTCCCTCTTCCCTCCTAAAGCGTTCCTTTGAGAAAATATTATTTAGTCACCTTTGAGTTGAAGATAAAATAGTGTGGTCTGCAAGAGTCAACTGCAGTTGCGTTAAAAGCCCCTTGGGATACAGATGATGTTGGGTGTATTAAAGTGCCATTCATTGTTTCATTCAGTATCAAAGCAACTTCCATAGGACAAGGAATCTGAAATTTCTTGCAAATCACCTGAAATACATTATTTTACAGTTTTAAAAACACAATAATGTGACAAGGCTTATAAACAATATTTTCTACAGAAAAACTCAACCTACCACAATCAGAAAGAACACCATACACAACAAGGAAAGGCCACTGGTGTATCCCAAATATCCTGTAAGAGGTAGGAAAATAGCAGATTATTAGTTTAAGTAAGGTTACAAGACAAATATTTCTCCATGGAATGACCATATTCTGCTGGGAAGATTTTAGGCACACTAAATTTTAGTAGGTATAATGTTAAACTTCTAACACGTCTAAATAATAAGATTATCACTCCTTATTACTCACAAAGGACAGATAATAGAGAAATGCAAAAGAAGTATTTTGACCTTTTGGGGACTGTCTTGCTAGGACGTATGAAAGAATTACAGGGGCTATAAAGATACAGCTCAGCAGTGGAGCTCTTACCTAACATGCACAAGGCCCCAGTTACAGCAAAAAAAGAAAGAACTTGCAACTCCCACAGGTACTTGTTTAGGGCCTTTTAAACTCTCACTAATTTCTAGAAAGAGTAAGTGCTGGCAAGTCTCTTTTCAGTAATCTTTAAAAATGGGTTTGCTCACCTAAATTTCTCAGCAGCGACAAAGGAAGAATGAGTACCAGTGACACCAGCAGAACCAAATAATCACCATTCAGATACCACAATCTGAATCAAAGAAAAGAGAAACAAGGTCAAAGCTAGCTATGGAGTACATACAAGTCTTCACAGATGACTCATTACAGAAATATCATAAAGATAAACATGAAAAAGGGGTCTTGGAGTATTCCTTATTCAAGACAGCAATAACTTTTTAACTTTGTATACTGGATCAATATTCATTCAGGTTACAATTGGAGTATAAAAGTCTAACTTTTAGCCGGTCGTGGTGGCGCACACCTGTAATCCCAGCATTTGGGAGGCTGAGGCGGGAGGATTTGAGACCAGCCTGGGCTACATAGTGAGTTCCAGATCCGTCAGTTTTTTGAGACCCTGTCTCAAAAAACAAAACAAAAGTCTAACTTTTGTCCTACTGCTTGCTCTAGAAGGCTGCCAGCTGATTCATAACACAAATTGCTTCTTAAAGGCTTGATACTAACATAGGGAACAAAGCTGCCTTGTGAACCCAGTGAGCTTATCTTTAAGCACTTCTAGAAAAAATACTGCACACATCAACTATGTCATAGTTTGAGCTTGCCTTTTCACATGCTGGCAACAAGTACATTTTACAATAAAAATTTTTTCAGACAATTTTTAGCAAATATACTTATTAAACATTTCAACAGGGAAAATTTTCCATAGTTAGGCAAACCACCACCACCCAAAACCAACCTGTTCCCCAAACCACAACTTTACTTGAGACTAGAGTACGCTGTTGATACCTTGACTCCCAAAATATAGTAAAAAGATCTCTTCTGAACATCGTATGTTCCTTAATAAAGAGCTATACTCAAAAGCCACCATTTGTAAACTGTGTATGAACTCTACTTCATTTACTCCAGCAACAAGGACCCCACTGAAAATTAGTAGGTAAAAATCAGCTATCAGCTTGGATGAGAGCACATGCCTACAATCCCAGCACTCAGGAGGCCAAAACGGAGGATCACCGAGTTGAGGCCAACCTGAGCTACTTATTGAGTTCAAAGCCAGCCTGAACTACAAGTGAGTCCCTATTGCTAAAAACTAAAACAACCAAAAAAGCAGTTTACTAAATTACATTCCTACATTTCTAAAGCAACAAAGATACCCAATAAGCTGTATAAAGTTGAGAAATAGTCTAGCCCTGTGTTTACTTAAGGGGTCCACTGGGATGAGTAACTTTGCCAATAAGGTTTCTACAATACAGTGACATATTTTGTTGTAGCTGGCATGAAGCAGATTAAGTTTAATGCTTTTTGTGGGGGTGGGTATTGGGGATCAAACTCAGGTCCTTGCACAATGCAGGCAGAGGCACCACTGAGCTAAATCCCCAGCCCTATGATTGGTTTTTAATGTAATTCAGAGCTTCAGTGTTAGGCTGGGATCTATGTTCAATAAATCTCACTTTCTTAATATGAACATAATGAGAAAGCAATTCTAAAAAACCTGTTCTCACACACGGGTTAGAAATTACTGCAGATGAGCCAGGTGTGGTAGCACACACCTGTAATCCCAGCACTGAGGAGGCGGAGGAAGGACTGCCTGGCAGTTCAAAGCCAGCCTGAACTACATAGTGAGACCCTGTCTCAAAAAAAAGGGAAAACAGAAACAGAAAACCCAAGAAATTACTACAGATGTCTGAAATTAGAGCTAGCTACCACTATCTTTGGTTTTTCATTTTCAGAAAGTTCTTAGCAGTTTACGGGGGGACTTCTTGGTCAGTCAACAGTAACTTTATGTTCTGACAATCATTTTATATCCAATTTTGGGAAAATGTATCTAACCATTTTAGACTGTTGCTTCTTAGGAGTAACCTTACTTAGCACCTACCCAGTTGTATCTTCAATGTTCATTAAAGCCTGGATCACCAAAGGTAACTCATATTTCACTATGAAGAGGTAGCTTGACATAGCTGGAGGAAAACAAAATTATACCATTACAAGTGCAAAATGCGGCATGTGACACAACTCACATGTCACCACTCTGTCCTACGCAGTAAACAAAGTCTAACAAATTGCCTTGTAAGAAATTCTTACCTCCAATGTTCTGCATGGTAATTGACCCAGAGGCTGCCAGCTTTCCAACCAGTCCAAATGCTTTATGCCCCAACTGTTCATATAATAAAGACCCTACAATTTAAAGAAAACAAACATAAACAAAACAGTTGAGGGGAAAAAAAAAATCACTAAAGGTATAAGTTATTTGAGAAAAATTAAGAATGCTATCATACCTCCTTCATTGGCAGTCTTCAAAAGGAGGTGAACAGAATATAAGGAAAATATTGACACAAACGTCAAGAGAATTCTGATGAGAAAAGGAAAAGGGTTATAAATAAGTAGGTCTATTAAAAACAATGCTTTTGGGTTCTTTCAAGTAACATTAAATATGGAAATGTGCCTTATTTGTGCTAAAATGCCCCCAAGAACTACTCTTTCTTCTGGTAGCTGAAGTGTCAAGTCTGTCACCTGGTATTAAAAAGGTGTTTCATGTCTGGGGTAATAGTACCACACTACTGGTCAGGGATGAACACACTGTGTGAAATACATCAGGCATCAGTAAAAGCCCAGCTTCCCAAAGGACTAAGTAATGATTCTAGCACCTAGCTGTATACCTCTCACTTCTCTGGATTTTAACAGCTCCCTGTAAAGGTTGGCCATTAAACTCAGCCCACAAAATTTTTGTGAAATCCAACTGAGACAATTTCAGGAAAGGCCCGGAGACTGCATGAACTATGTAGATAAGGACAGCAATGGGAAGGGAGAAATGATACTCTGAAAGTATCAGGCCCTATGAACTTTACTAAGGACTGGGCAAAGAACTGTAACTACTGTGAGGATACTTCTGCACTGACTGCATGGTGAGGAATATGCACCTGTGCTACAGCAGGCAGAGTATCAGCCGCACTATATAAACTGTCTAGTCTCTGTGACCCTTCTCTTTGAACTAAAGGGGAGGGGAAGAGTACAGGGAAGAAGAGAGACTGTAGTACCATCTACTTTTCCTTTAGGCTATGGGTTCTGTCTCATTTCACTTAATTTGCCTTCCAAAAGGGAAAGTAAGGATAGGGACTTTTTAACAAGCAAAAAATAACTAGATGTAGTGACACACATTTGTGACCCTAACACTCTGGGAAGCTAAAGCAGGAAAACAGCATGTCTGAGGCCAGCCAGGGCAACTCAGACCCTGTCCCAAAAAAAAGGAGGGCCGGGGATTTAGCTCAGTGGTCCCACCACCTGCCTTAAAAACAAAAACAAAAAACCTGGAAAAACTCACAGAAAGCTCTCCAAACAGGACAACCATAAGTCTTGATTCTGTATGGGCAAATTACATACAGTACTATATATAAACTGATGGCAAAGAAACTGATGTCTAGGAGTTAAGCACAGCAAGTAGTATTTATCTGGTGTACCAATGCCAGACTCTTTATGGAGTCTAGTTCTAAGGTGACACTATTAGCTTCACCTCCAACTGGAGAAAAGTTTATTTTAAATCGAAACAAATTAAGTCCTTCATTGTCTCACACTGAAATGACAAGGGATAACTGGATTTCACATCCGTTTTCTACTTCATACCTTTGAGATCACTAAAAATCTCAAGACTAATTCTACTTAAAAAGGTCAGCTACAGAATTATTTTAAGTGAATTGTGGCAGCTATGTGGCTTTTGGCCTCTCCATACAACAATATAGTGGAATAAAAAACTCACGCAATCTTGGTATTTTTTAGCCATTTATTAATATGGTTAATCAAATACATAAGCTCCTTATGAAAGCAGAATTCCCAAAGTTCAAGGGTAACACATCTTTGCTTCCACTCATGAAACAGTTGCCGTTTTATCTCATTAAAATTCTGTACTCTAACCACATTGGCAGTATTTTAAAATTGCTTCCAGTTTTTAATACCAAGAGCTACAGAGGGTTTCAAATATTAACTCTGATGCCATTAGAAATTCCGTCTAAGAATTTTGAGTTTAAGATCCTAATCACATGTATTCTTGATCCTTTACCTTTCCAAGAGGTTTTAAAAGCCTCATTCTAATGAAACAAACCCAATGAACTCTAGCTTCTAGTACTCATAGCCAGTCTTAGATTCTGTGGAATTTCGCAGTGTATTGTAAAGGTCTGCTTTCCTTTTAATGAGCCTTCTGTCATGCTAGAGAAAATAAGCTGAGTAGCAGTCACCAGGAAGCTAACTAAAACACATCCGTCACAAAGGGACGTGTGGTTTCTTCACCGGAATGATAACACTAAGGCATGAAGCTAGCCTCTGCCCCAAGTCCGCAGGTACTTGAAATTAATAACTGTGATAAACATGCAGGTGCTTTTTTCATCCTGGTAATACGGTTCCTATTTCTGCTATAATTTTCAAGGGTCAATGACCACAGAATGGATAAAAGAATCACTTCTATATAAAATTCTCAATGCTTCCAAAATTTTATCGAGGCATTTATGCTGGAAAGCAAAAGAGTAACTCTAACCAGGCAACTTGAGGGAAAAACACTTCTAAGTGGGTACTTAATAAAATATTCATTTTGGCCATACTATGTGGCAAATACATAGGCCTAAGAAAGATAAACATTAAAAAATTGTTTTTCAGCATCCAGAAAATGATTTACTTGTTCTAAAACAAATATGTTCTAGGCTAGGTAAATATCACCACACCTTACAATTTTTCCTTTCCTTATTCACAAAAGGGGCCACAGGTCCTTGGGGTTACTTTGTCAACTTAATCAAACTTATTTGGGAAGCATTTCACTCAGTAATACTTTTGGCTTCTACTTGATTTATCAATGGTTTTGTTACCCAGTACCTGCCAATTTTTTTTTTGAAAAACCCATTTTTCACCAACTGAAAAAGATTTTGGGTTTAATTTTTCAGGTTTTTTTTTTTTTTTTGTACCGAGGATCGAACTCAGGTCCTTGTGCTTGCGAGGCAGGCGGCAGCACCGAGCTAAATCCCCGGGGCCAATTTTTCAGTTTTAAATGGTACCTTTTTTTCTACCCAATTGGCTTTCTTGATATCGTGCATTACGTAGAATAGAGATTTTAGGGTTTCTCATACTTTTAACTTTGAACAATTTTTAAGTCAACTATTTCAACTGTAAATTCAGTTTTTGGAGCCAAAATGTGTTTTACCCATCATTTAACTGCCCTGCATGGCAGGCAGACTCACTACTTACACATACTTACATAAAAAGAGCAATTCCAGTATTAGCCATGGCATAAGAAAGCCCAAGGATTCCACTGCCCACAATCGCATTGCTCAGATTAAATACTGACATTCCAAAGGAAGTAGTACCTGGATGCTACATAGAGGGAAACGATAACCAAACATATAACAATAATTAAACGGAGAAAACCAGTTTGGGGCAAGTTAGATTTGAAATCTAAAAGTAAAACTAGTCTTTTACTCCATAAAGCCACAGACACAGAAATTATAGTTTTTAACTTACAAAGTCTGTTTCATACTTCTTCTTCCCCAAATTCGATTCAAGCAGAAAGTTCTGGTTTTCAGGATCTACATCTGCATAATGGCTGCAAAATATACGCATTATTTTAATTTATTGAAAGACACTGGTTCAATATAACACAGCCCACTGTTCTGTCCTAACAATGTGTAAACACAAAAGACGCTGTCATTGCAATAACACAACTGGGTACCTCGAGATGATACGCTCTCCAAATAAATGCACCAGTAAATGCTAACTGGCATCATCGGGACCTTAAGTAACTCCCCGACTCCGGCAAGCTGTTTTTAAAGCGCACAACTTCACTTACCTTTTCAGAGCAGCTTGCTTCGTAGGGTAGGCGTAGTTGAAGTCGCTGTTGGAACTGTAGCTACTGCTGTCCTCATCCGGGGAAATATTGAACCTTCCCATTTCGGTCTTCTTCATGCTGTGCATCAGGCTCGGCAGGCTGGCAGGGCTGAGCTCCTTTTGTCCTTGGCGGTGCACAGGCCCTCGAGGCTGCCTGCGAAAGCAGAGGCGGCGTC